AATTCTATAGAGAAAAATAGTTTCACGTACGTTACATAGGAGGTGAGAATCTCTATTTATAGAGATAAGCTCAGACTTACCGCACTTCAACGGCTCTCCGACCGCCCGGGAAATGCGGCCTGTTGTATCCTCTTGTCTTTGTCTCTGAAAGTGCTCTTCAAGGTTGACTTGTACCTATTGAAAGTTGGCCGAAGGTAATTCGTATAGCTCAACCCGACTTGTCGTGTTGAGAGTTGTATCAAGTCGAAAGATGTGGTTGAGTCTTCTTATTGTTCTTACGATGATGGCACGTGGCAGGCGATAAAAGAAAAAACTTGCCTCTTTAAAGTGAGAAACTTTCTCTTTAATATCATTAAATATTTTACAACTCATTATATTTTTATATTTTTTTTAATTTTTGCATTTCTCTCTTATTTGTCAAAAGGAGAAAGTTGCTCTAAGTTTATGGAGCCAAATTCATGTAGTAGAAAATTTTGGAATGACATCAGACACTTTTGGTCCTGTTATACATTTTGTAATCTTTAAGATACATATAGCAGAGTAAGTGTAGTCAAACGAGTAAGCATGCATGGCTGAGCAAAAATGTAGTCATACATATACAAAACCACATTTACATGGTGCATTGGAAAATCAACCTGGTATACGGCATCTATTGGTTTGAAAACGATTTATAGAATAGCGATTAAATCACAATCATTCTAAATTTGCGTCTCACAATCTTTTAACAATTAGATCATAATTCAATAATCAAAAAACATTTTCAAGTTGACAAGTGCTTGCAAATGATATGAAGTAACTTGAAATTTGTCAATGGTTTAAAAACGATGCAATTTATAGGGATGTTCAAGGAACCCGACAGGTTGGGTTGGGTTGAATCTAATATTGGGTTGGGTTGAGTTGGATAAATCTCCGAACCCGACAGGGATGGGTTGGGTCTCGGGTTGACCATTCAAAATCTCGGGTTGACCCGACCCAACCCGATATCTTGTATTTTTTTAATATATATATATTAGTAATATTACATATATATATATAATAATTATTAATTAAAATCTTACTTTCCGTGGTAATCTCCCTTTCCATTTAGATTCCAGGGTTTCATCATTTCCATCCTTATCCTTCTCTCTCTAATCTCTTCATCTGTTTCTCATATTTCTCATTTTCTCTCTAATCTCTCCTCCCCGCCGCCGCCTCATCTCCACCCGCCGCTGTTGCCGCTCCACCTCTTTCTGCCGCCGCCGCCTCTCCTTAATTTCGAAGTAGGTAAATTTGCATCTTTAGTTTTCTGTTTTTTTTTGTTTTCTCTTTTGCTTTATATTTCATTATATTTCTGAATAAATAGCAAAAAAAAAAAAAAGAAAAAACAACCCGACGACCCAACCCGAAATTTTTGGGTTGGGTTGGCGAGCATTTTTCAACCCGTCGGGTTGGGTCGTCAGAGTTGTTTTTTTTTCTTAGATAACTGTTTGAAACCAAACCTACCTATAAAGTTTTCATTTATTTGAATCCAACCCAACCCAAATCGTATGAATTTAGTTGCGTTGATCGAGGTTTGTTGGTTCATCGAGATTTTTTAGCACCCTTATCCACACAATACACCTTTATGGTTTGTTTGGTTCAAGGTTTCAAAAAGGATGTCTGTGATTAAGATACATGGGATTAAGATATCGGGGAATGAGATATCTGGAAAACAAAGATAACTGTATTTGGTGGTATATATGTTTGGGATTAAGATATCTGACATTAAGATGTTTGAAAATAAATTATATATATGTTTATTTTGTGTGATTACTCTAGAAATATGCATTTTATGTTGATTAAAACAAATCAAATCTAGAAATTAATAATATAAATTAAATTATTTTATATTAGCATTCTAAATTTTAAATTAAATAATTTAGCTATTGAAATTTTAGCACAATAATGAATTGATATAATTAATATTAAATGTTATTTAACTAAAATTCAATATATACATATTTAGTAAAATGATATATTTGTATAAAAGTTTAAAATCAATCAAAATTAACTCCCAATAATTAATTTATCTTTATTAATTTAAAAGAATTATTATTTTAAGAGATTGTGTTTTAATTTAAGTTTCACGCTTTAATAAATATACTATTAATAATATATATCTAAGTTGATGTAGCGTTGATTTTATTTAACAATCAATCTTAATAATTATCATTTCATGTGTTTAAAAAAATTAATCATTTTCATCTTATTAATTACATCAGTTAATTACATTTTTTTTAGAAAAAAATAAGTATAGACTTTAATAAATCAATTTATTACAATAAAATAAGTAATTTAGTATATTATTGATAACATTTTAATGTTATTTTATTAATTATAAATTTAATTTAAATATTTTAACTCATGTTAATTAATTGATTGGAATAAAATAAAGTAAATAATTACATTTAAAAATAATTTATTTAGAAGAAGAGGGATAAAGGGTGGTTTGGTTGAAGGGTTTAAGAGGGGGAACGAGTTTGGGCATATAAACCCTATGTTTGATTGGAGATTTGAAATGATACATTTGAAAAAACTCTAAACAAGAGGCATAGTTATCCTGCAAAAGTGTGGGTTTTCTCTTTAACCATTCTCTCTCCAAAAAAATCCTCCCTCTCCTCTCCCTCTTCATCTGCCTTCTTTTTTCGTTTTCGTTTTTGCTATTTGTATTTTTGGTTGTGCCTTCTTTTTTTTTTTCATTTTTTTATACTATTTATTTTTTTCCTTCTGCTTTGTTATCATATTTTATTTTCGTTTTTTTTTCTCAATTAGTTATTTATTCTTTTAATTTCGATAAAAACTTAAATTTCTTTTCTACCCTTAAATCAAGGTTGCAAATTAACTCTATCCCTTAAAAAAGTTAAAATAAAATTTTAGAACTAGAAAGTTGAAGAGTTGAAGTCTGTTTTCTTTATACAAAAAAAATTTGTTTAGAGTTATTTTTTTTAATAACTTAACTTAATAAAAATAAATTAACTACCAATTATTTATTTAAAATTATCTTAGATAAATTAATGGTTGAGAGTTGATTTTGATTAATTTTCAAATAAGTCTGATATCATTCCCTTCAACAATAAGTATATTAATAATTTATTCCTATAAAATTCTATTAACATTTCCCTACACAACCAAACACAATTATCTTTAATTCCCATACAACTTAATCACAGACATCTTAATCTGCATCTTAACCTTCAACCAAAAGAGTCTGTTACAAAACCCATGGACAAATCCATGAAACTGGGAAAGAAAAGAAAACCCTTGTCCATGGAAAACTGTATTTATTATTTTTGTTTTTTGAAGGACTAAGATTTAGTATGAAATATTTTTACTCAGTTCATATTTCATATTGTTACTGTACTTGTACAATCAAGAAAAAAAATTGTTATTGTACGTTGATGCGTGGATTTTGACCCTCTGGTTCTTCTTCTCGCACACACCTAACTTGATGATAAGGGAACCAATACCTGCAAAACCAAACCGATCTAAACCGGTGTGATCTTAGTCACACGGGTTCCGATGCCTAAGTTAGCGAGGGAGAGTTGAGAAAATAGTGAGCTAGGGATATGTCACTTGCCTCTCTAGGGTTAGGCTGCACTACTATTTATAGCTGTGAGGGTGGTTCTAGAACCTTCTTGTAGTTGATCCCTAATCCGAATTTGCAAGGCCCAATGATCGGCCTCAACCCCGAATAGGTGTGTTTAACCTCCTGATGTAGATCCGAGCGAAGGAGGCCCACATGGTATTTGGCTCGAAGGCGATTGTTTAAAAGTAGGCGCCTCGACATCGAGGAGGTCTCGGCGTCGAGTCGGCGCCAAGGTGCCGTGAGAACGAAGTAGGCGCCATGACGGCCTCGATGCCATGACGGCCTCGACGCTAGGTCGTCCTTTGGGCCAGCCCATTACGTCGCAGGCTGGTCTTCCCCAGTCGATGATCTCGGGCTTCAATTTCTTGTCTCGTTTTGGGTCGTTTTCGTTCTCTATAACAATGACCCCCACTCTCAAAATAGAAGACGAATAATTGCGTCAAGATCTTTGTTTTGAGAGTACCTGTCGCTTGTCGTTACCGCGAGATCATTCTATAGTCTCATTTATATATATATATATATATATTAGTGGCTAATAATGTCAAGGTTTCTAACACACAGAGCTTCTACCAAAAGCTTTTGACCCAATTTTGGATTTTAGCTGCTTGGTTTCTGTCATTGGTTTTGTGCCTTGAACTTGTCGATACTATTCATGATTTGGAAGTTTTTTCCAATTTTTCGTTGGTCATAATCAAGTCTCCTGAGCCTGGTTTTATTCTCATCTTGGTTTAAACCATTTATTTTTGGCATTAGGATCTAACTTTAACAAAACTAATGTCGATACCTTTGGATTTCTAACTTGCCTG